TACAGGCTGATGTAAGAGAAAGTTGATAGATCATGGTCCTCTTAGCTTGCCCTTCCTGGCACAGAAAAATTGCTCAACAAGCAGGGTGGTTTAAGCAAAACTAGGGACTCAATAGACCCATTGTACCTGAGGCATAACTCTCACCTTTTGAGTGACAGCTGCTCCTATGTAGTGTATAATTCCCAAAACAGGATTTAGGGAAGCAATACATAAGTTTGAGGTTGCACACTTGTTGGATGAACCAGGGTGCTAGTCTGGAAACTTAAATAAACCCCCTTTTCTTGAACATATCCATTATGAATACAGAAATCAACACTGACCTAGGGAATGAGATTAAGACATAAATCGAGTGCCACACTTTCTACTTTTACCAATTTTAGAAGATATAATTGGACAACTGTTTCTCTTATATAGCCTTAGATTAATTTCCAAAGATATTAATTTTTAAATTTTTTACCAATAAATTGGTTGTTTCTAAGGAGAGAGTCTGCTAGCTCCACACACAATCAATCTAGAACTCACCTGACAGTTTGAAGAAGAAAAAAATACTACCAACATCCAGTCATATTATAAAGTTATGTCTATTAAGATAGTAGAGAATGACCAGTGACATAGAATAGAGAGGTCAAATGGACTTTCAGTAGCTTCTGTTGGTCAACTAATATCCACATGAAAATGATGTATCTTTAACTCTATCTCACACTATACATGAAGGCCAACTCCAGATTGATTTTAGTTTTCAGTGTCACAGGTATATCAAAAACCTATCAAATGAAAATATAAAAAAGTTAATTAATGACCATGGAATAGGCAAGTTTACTTGATTGGAAACAAAATCTGAATGTGAAAACATTATTTGATAAATAGAACTTTAAAAATAAGGGTGTCTACTCCTCAAAAATATCATTAAAAAGTAAAAGTCTCTTGAATATTTGAAGACTATATTTTCAAAATACATATATACAAAAAAGTTGTATACAGGATATATGTAATACTTCCTCAAAACTGTGTTGTTAGAGAAAGGCAGCGTTCATTAAATTAGTAAATTGGCCAAAGAATTCAGTCCCTTCTCAAAGGAGGACAGCCAGTAAAATATGAAAGGGTGACCACATTTTTAGTCTTCAAAGAACACATATTAAAGCTGTGATTTCGTAACACCAGAATGACTAAAGTAAAAGTTGTGACTGAACATGTCTATATGTATGCAAGGTTATGGACAGTTAAAACTCGAATACAATTCATTGGTGTTGGGTGTATAGACTGGTCGAAACACATTGGAAAACTGCTTGTACTGTTTCCTATGCCTGAGCATATCATATACTCTGAGCAATTGCAATCTGAATGATAAGCTAGATAGAAATGTTACCAATTTTCATTCAATGACAAATACTAAAATGTGTCTATTAATACTAATCATAATGCCCCAAAACTAAATATCAATAATTGTTCATCATCAGTAGTCTAGTGAAATAACTTGTGGTTAATTGACATG